CCCCCAGGACTGTGCGGAGGATTCCTCAACGCCACCAGTGAGCCACAGACCATCCAGTCTCCCAACTACCCGAATCCCATGGGCACACAACTGCGTTGTACCTGGGTCCTGGACGGTGGCTCCGAGCACGTCTACGACTTCGTCAAGGTCACCGTCACCGACCTACAGCTAGCAGCTGAATCCTCTTGCCGGGACGAGTACCTCATGATAACGGACACGCCTATGGTCAGTGCACCACCAGTCATTTTGTCTTTGATTTTAAATGGTTATATATATAATATTGTGGTTATGAAAATGAAGAAACCAACATTTTTCTGCCTGTTACAGAGAGAGAGATCTACAGACAGACAGACAGACAGACGGACATACAGACAAACAGTTATAGATAGATAGGTTTTAATAAGATATCATATACATGTGTACATATATTATACATATATATATGTACACATATATATATATGTATTAGAGAGAGAGAGCGAGAGAGAGAGAGAGAGAGAGAGAGAGAGAGAGAGAGAGAGAGAGAGAGCTGTCAGAGTTTTCATTATCTACCTAACGTCTCCATATCCAGGACTCACAGGCCCATACCTACCACTACTGCGGCACCACCATCCCTCGACCTTTCATCTCGCGCAAGAACCAGGCGTCTGTCATCTACTCCTTGCCCGCGGGCTCCTCTAGCAGTGGCTTCAGCCTCACCTACGAGACGACCAGTGAGTCATGTCTTCTTTGTTGGTTTGTTTGTGTGTGTCTTTGTTTGTTTCTGTCTTTGTTTGTTTCTGTCTTTGTTGTTTGTGTCTTTTTTTAGGTCTTTGTTCATGTCTCCTTTGTGCTTTGTGTCTTTGTTTTTGTGTCTTTGTCTGTTTGTTTTTTCCTTTGTATATGTGTTAGGCAGCGTGGTGGAATCAGGTTCTCGTCAAAATAATCAAAGTGAAGAAACTTGCATTTTTCCGGAGGTTTGTGAATTTTTTTTTTAAATGTCGTTTTTCGGATCAACACCTTTCATGCCCATTAAAGAACTCATTTCTGTGTGGATTCTTCTGAAAAACATTCATTAGATTCACAAAAAATGTAAATTTTCAGTTACCACGAACTTTTAATCTAAGAAAATAACTAATCTTTTGCGGCCATTTTCTCACTAATTTTACCTCTGAAAACAGGTGACCCCCACCTCCTTTATTCTCAAATATCTCGACTTGTATTCAAGATAAATGGATATTTTTTTCAAACAAATAAAGAGAAGTGAACAAGCTTTATGATGACACCAATAACTCTACAAGCCCTGAAATTGACGAGAGCCTGATTCCACCGCGCTGCCTCACATGTCTTTGTCTGTTTGTTTGTTCCTTTGTTTATGTCTTTGTTTTTTTTGGGGGGAGAGGGGTTCCTTTGTTTATGTCTTTGTTTGTTTGTTCCTCTGTTCGTTTGCTAGTTCCTCCGTTTTGTGTTCGAGTTTTTTAACCCAATTCACCCTACGTTGCCAACGTACACTTGAGTCCACCCTTGCTTGCTGCGAGCCAGGGAATAAAATCGGTCTGAACTCGATTCACTAACCTTAGACCCGCATTGTGTGCAAAAACTATTTAAGGTATCAGTATGAAATTTGGCCTAGATTTTACTTTAAGTGTTCTTTTAATATTATTAGTAATAGAGAGAAAGATGAAGGAAAGCGCAGAAAAAATAGTAGGCCTATATCATTCGTACGACTGCGATCGACTCATCAGCTCTCGATTTACCCATAGCAACTTATAAAAAATCTATGGTCTATCTAGATTTAGCTTTTCTTCAAAGTTTCCAAGGCACTAAAATCAATCCGATCGCCCTGTTTTTCTAGATTTACGTCTACTTTCAATTTGTTTACCGCTTAATTATGCCTAAACCAAAACTAAAAACATGGTTCGTGTATTTTATTTTAACAAACGCAAAAATAGCCGTGGCACTGTTGTTTTTTGGGGGGGTTTTGGGGGGGGGGGTTTTCTTGTCCCTGAAGATTTCAGTGCTCGCTTTTTTGCCATGATTTGCGGTGACAAAACAAGAAAACGAACTCGTACTTGGCAAAAACCTGGATCAAAACAAGCTAGCAAAAGTTTTTATAAGCTACAAGCAACAGGCAGGCTATCATGCTATTATTTTCAATATAAACCTGGATAAGTGGTTCAGACTCGATTTTGTGGACTGTTTTTTGTTCCGACTATTGTCTGCATAATTATTTTGACCGATGGGCAATTTGTTCTTATTTTCTTTTTGTTTGGCTCAACACGTTTTATGTCCATTTAGAAACACATTTATGTGTGGATTTTACTGAAAGACATCGATTAAAGGCACAAAAAATAAAAATTTTCAGTTTCCAAGATGCCAAACTTTGGCGGCCATTTTCTTGCTAATTTTACCTGACCTTCTTCAATTGCAAATATTTTGACTTCTGTTCAACATTGATTGACATTTTTTCCACCAAAAGGAAGGCAAATGGACGGGCTTTAAAATGATACCAATAACCCCATATTATGCCAAAAAATTGACGAGTGCCTGATTCCAACACGTGGTGACACAAACGCCCCCAGTTTACGGAGATTTCTAACTTTCCTTGCTTTCTTTTTTTCGAGGTTAAGAATTTGAATTTCAACATAATGATTCCTTCTTTCCTATCAAACATCTATCGTCCTCATCTCTCCTCATCCTTATTTTTTGTGTATATGTGAGACATTGAGGTGAAATCAGGCGCTCGTCAAAATAGTGAAATTTTAAAAAAATAGTTGAAAAATTTACATTTCAGACCATTGGGCAATTTTTTTCCAAATTTTCTTTTTTGGGCAAAACACCTTTTATTACCATTTAAAAACTCATTTCTGTGTGGATTCTACTTTTTTTTTTAAAAAGCACAAAAAATGTCAATTTTCAGTTTCCAAAGACTGTCGTCAAGCTATTAAATTGTAATGACAAAACTTTGGCGGCCATTTAATTTCTTGCTAATTTCACCGCCGAAACCAGGCGACCCTGACCTCCTGCAATTGTCAATATTTCAACTCCTATTCAAGAGAGAAGGAATTTTTTTTTCTCAACATGAAAGGCAAATGAACAGACTTTACTTTAAGATGATACCAAAAACCCCATATGCCCACAAATTGACGAGCACCTGATTCCACCACATTGTGACACATATTATTACTTTCTTGTAAAACATGATCTATTCTTTGGTACTTCTATGACTTAACTTATAGTGTTGCAAGTGCCATAAAACTCTAACTAGTGGGCGGTTGGCGGGTGCTCTGGTGTGGTTCGCTCCTTCTTTCCTATCAAACATCTATCGTCCTTATCTCCTCTTCTTCTTTTTTTTGTTTGTTACTCTCTGGTAAAATCTTCTGGTGCTCATTTAACCTTATGCAGTTGCGAGCGCCGTAAATCGTCTACTAAAACTTTAAAAACTGTTACTAAAACTAAACTTTAAAAAAAAAAACTCTACTAAAACTGGGAAAACTCTTACGAAAAGTAAACTAAAAAAAAAACCCCTCTACTAAACTGTCCCCGTGGTTTTATGCACCCGGCATAATTTAGCAAAATGTGATCATTTTTTGCATAATTTCTGATTATTTTCTTTTATCATTCTTTATTAAGATTAAAACAGAATCGCATAATTTCACTTTTTTGGGCTCAGTTTGCATAATTCCATAATTTTTCTTGCATAAAACGACGGGGAAAGACTAGAACTAAAAAACTCTACTAAAACTAATCTTTTAAAAAAAAACTACTAAAACTAAGAAAACTCTTACTAAAACTAAACTTAAAAAAAAACAAACCCTCTCCTCCTCCCTCCCAGGTTGCAACCAGAACTACAGTACAGGCGACAACGGCCGCATCACCAGTCCCTGGTACCCCGGCTCTTACCGCTTCAGCTCTGACTGTCGCAGCACGGTGGAGACTCCAGAGGGAACGACCTTGACCCTGTACTTCGCAAAGTTCTACCTGGAGCGCCATAGCCGTTGCCGATACGACAGTTTGACGGTGAAACACTTGCCATTACTTCTACTTTTCCCACAATGTTCATT